CAGAACCAGGTTTTTCATAATTATATAGAGGTAAATCATTATGTTTTTCAAAAGGTAAATCATTATGTTATTGTAGAAAGCATCTGGTTTAAAAAATAATTAATTGGTAGTAAGAGCCCTCTAGGGTACAAACATTGACATGATTACAACTTAAATTCTTCTAATCTGAACTACAAAACCCATTAAGTTCTTCTACAATATTATTTTTTTAATGAAAAACTGTTACTTTTCTTTTAATTAACAAGGGAAAACGAGTTATTTATAAATATTTTTACGATAAATACTAAATAAAAAAAAGTTTTAATTCAATGAGCCAAATGTTCCGAATCGCTGTTTCTTGCCTGCAGCATAAAATTTTTCTATCCTTTTTTTATCTAAAAAAAAAAGAATTTTTAGTTTAAATAAAAAAATTACTAAAAACTTTTAAAGAGATAAATTTAAGCTATTTGTAGTAATGGTAACTCTTTTGTTTACATCAGAATTCCATTTCAGACGATAATTTGTTTCACAATAACACCACTTTTAAGAACCTAACTATATAATAAATAAGTCATAATAATTCCAAAACAAATTTCAAATTTAGTTTCGGTACGTAATCAGTTCACCTCTTTCCTATTGATGTCTCTGTCTTCCTTCTTACGATTTCGATTTTGTCCAAGAAATTATTAAATGTAAAGACCAACATTTCAGTATAATCATAATATTACCTAAGACAAGGCTGTATGGAAAGAACCCTTTTTCCTCGAATTATATGATTACAATTTAAAAAAATGAGCTACCGACAACCGTTCGTAGTTGGTAGGCGCCTACCGATGATTGTGAAACGCAAAAACGAATGGTTGTCGGTAGCTCAAAAAACGGTCGGTAGCTGCTACCGATGGTTGTCGGTATATTATTGAAACCGGGGGTTAATCAATCAAATTTGTTTAGTATTTTTATACAAAAAATAGAATCAATATGATTTCTATACTAAATGACGAGAATTTGGACACATGAGTGAATTCGAATTCGGGTCTGGATTGTTACAGAATCGCAGGGCTGAGCTCCAGCATTGAGGAAATTAATAAGCTGGTGATGATGATAACGATCTTAATATAATTGGTACCCAATTGTTCTTTCACCTATCTATCGTTGAGACTCTTTGTTCATTCTAAATAGATTCTATCTACGTAGTTCATTTGTCATTGAAGTTTTTAAAGTTGTATAATAGTTTTATACTAACAGTTTTGTAACTAATACCCTTTACTAGAGACTAATTACCTACTCTAAGTTGAAATATTACTTAACAATATTTTATTATTTATTATTTTTATGTTTCAGTGTCTTGGTAATGCTGACCTTAACCCCAGTAAACAGTCACCTTTTCTTGAAAATATCAATTCTCCAGTATTGGCCACTAATGTTATTATTCATAGTGAAAACATCAACCAAAACATAAAACGATCTCTTGTTTTCAACGTAAATGGAAGAAAAATTGGCTTAGTTGGATATTTAACACCAGAGACACGTTTATTGGAAAATCCTGGCACTATAGAATACACAAACGAAATTATTGCTCTTCAAGAAGAAGTTAACAAACTAAAAAATATGCAAGTGAACATTATTATAGCTTTAGGACACTCTACTGTAGACAAAGATTTAGAAATCGCCAGAGAAGTTGATGGTATAGATTTAGTTATTGGTGGTCATGAAAACATATTTTACTGGACTGGAGAAAATACTCAACCTGACCTGCCTAAGGAGGAAAAACCTGTCGTTGTTATACAACCGTCTGGTAAAACAGTGCCAGTAATTCATTCATATTCGTACGACAAATATCTGGGAAAACTAATAGTAAAATTCAATGGTAATGGTGATATTATTGATTATAAAACAAATCCGATTTTACTAGGAAAATCAAGCCCTCAAGATATCGAGGCAATGGATATTACAAAAAGAATAAGTTTAGAATTATCTAAGGATGCCAACGAAGTCATCGGAAGCACAGCCGTAGTTCTAGATGGAGAATCTTGTAGAACTGAGGAATGTAATCTTGGTAATCTCATTACTGATGCCATAGCATATTATCATGCTTTACAATACAATGGCATATGGACGGATGCTCCTATAGCTATAATACACTCAGGTGCAATTGCAGCATCAATAGCTCCAACTAATCGACCAGCTCCTATTACTAGAGGAGACTTGACTTCATCATTACCATTACAAAGTAATTTAGTGATTGTTAACATTACTGGAGCCATTCTAAATCAAGTTTTAGAGCATTCCGTTCACGACTATAGCATAACTCATCCCGTACATCAATTTCTGCAATTCTCTGGAATCAGAGTGGTATATGATATGAGCCAAGCTCCTGGATCGAGACTAGTTAGTGCTGTAGCTCGTACAAGTGGTTTCGTTCCGGAATTCTTTGCTATCAGTAATGATTTATCATATGCCGTGTTGATGCCGGCGACGTTAGCTGACGGTGCTTTTGGGTATTCAATGTTAGAGAGTTTGCCTAAAACTACACTTTCTTATGATGAAATCACTTGTCTCACTGAATTTATTAAAATGCGTTCACCTGTTTACCCAGAAGTCGCTGAACGTATTATCTTGAATGGTTTAGATGAATTCAGTGATCCCGGCTCTGCAACAGTTATTAGTTCTACAGTTACTATTCTTTTAATAGCCTTAATCCCACTATTTGCTTAAAAACACCTTTTTCAAAAAAAAATTGAAATTAAACGCATCATTACTTTGTCAAATCAAGTTTATATATCTTTATATATTACATTACATAGAGCTATAAACAAATCATTTATCAATTGAATAAAGAAGATTATGAAAAGAATTTCCCACAAGCAGGTTTTTGGTTTTTATACTCATTATATGCATTGTATTTAATTAAATAAACACAAACTGATAAAAAAAAGAATTTAAATTTGTAGATATTATGTTATACCAAGCACCCATAATACGATTAAACTAACGTCAACATTCCAGCATGACCTTAGCCATGACGTGACATTAGGAATGCGCATGAAGCCGAAGAGATCACGATTTATAAAATCACTTGTTTTCAGCCTTGACTACAAAGTTACAAAGTCACGAGAAGATATTAATATGATTACAAATATTAATAAAATAGTCACCCCATTTCATTTTCAAATATAACACCATTTATAATCAAGTAGAGGCATAATTTAGGTTGGGGAAAAAGTATTTTTGCATAAATATTTTTGGCTATATCATTTGTATCTGGATGCTTTCGGTATCATTAAAATGTTTAAATTTTAAAGAATCCCAACTCAAATGAAGAAAATGTGTGATGTTAATTTGTTTTTCTTACAGTATATGAGTTAATCTAATGAATAAATTCGATACATTTAATTTTTTATTAAAAAAGGCAAAAATGCATCGCAAGCCTCAAAATAAAATTGTGACGTTTATGGACCTAGTGCAGTTTCTATGAGAGTAGCACAAATTTGGTTTAAGCGTTTTCAGTCCGGAAATGTTGATGTCATAGATGAACGTCGCTCCGGTCGCCCTGTTACGGATAAAATAGATGCCATTTTTGAAAAAATGGAGCAAAATCGGCATATCGACGTAACTGAAGAACTGGGGATTGACCATAAAACAGTTTTGGAGCATTTGACAAAAGCTGGGTACACACAATATTTGGGTACCTCACGAGCTCACTGAATAAAACCTAATGAACCATGTACTCATTTATGAATCTTTATTACAGCGTTATGAATCGGAATCATATTTGGGGTTTCATCACGATAATGCTTGATCTTACTCATCTTTTGCCACTCAGCAAAAATTAAAAGAAATTTGTCTGCGAGGTGTTAATGCATTCGCCATATTATTCTGACCTTACACATTCAAATTTTTACCTGTTTTGGACTCTTTGAGAATTCTTTAGGCAGTGGCAGGTTAACATCAAACGCGGCCTGCCAAAACCACTTGTTGCGGCTTTTTGATCAGTAGCCTCATGACCCTACCATGCCATGATGGCAAAAAGTTTCGAACAAAATAAAACCCTACATACGTAAGTTAAATGTAAACAAACTTTATTAAAAATGTTGAATTTTCACATAAAATGCGTATAAACTTTTTCCCCAACCTATTGTGTCATTATGTACATATAACTATGCAGGCATATTGTTTTTATTGTATGATATATTAATAATGTTATTAATATATCTTTTGCATTTTCACCCATATTGTATTATGTTTAAGTTTCTTTAATAAAAAAAAATATTTTCTTTATGCCTTATTTCATTTGCCAAATGTATTTTATAATTTATATACATTTTAAAATTCGTTTGCTAGGAATGAATTTAAAAATCAAAACAGGTACAGAACCAATCGACAATACAGGAGATATCAGAAGAAAAATACATGGATTTTAAAAATACCAATTATTCCCTAAAATGTTAAGTACCTAATAATTTCAATTATAAGAATGATTTTGAAATAATAAATAAGCATGGTTAGTAGCAATCGCTTTAAAGTTAACTTTACGTTTAAAGCATATTGGTTCCAAAATACGAATGAATAGTTTACTTAGTTCTTTAATGGTATATAAGCGAGCATGGACTTTTTGATTTAACAAAAATTGTTTATTGCATGCGTACTTCGCATACCTAACAAAAGTTATTACAAATAATATTTTTTTGTGGTGATGCTTTTCCATAAATAACCTTATATAATCGAGTTGTATGTTCTTATATGTTCATTTATAACAAACTGTCTAACAAAACTTTTAGGGCTATTTTGTGCAATAACTTTTATATCCTGGGCTTCAAAATGTGAGTATCATTTTACTAACACCGTCGATGTCATTGTTTGTTAAAATAGTATTAAGTTCGCTTATTATCATAAGTTCGCATTGTTTAGCAAACATCATTTGCTAAATAATGCGGAAAGATATTGCATATTTTATAAAACGTAGCTATTTTGAAACACATTAGTCATTTTAAACAAAATTTAAGAAAACAATTTTGTTTCAGTCATTGGGTAACCATGAATTTGATAATGGGGTGTCAGGTTTGACACCATTCATTGAAAATCTCACATGCCCTACACTTGCTGCAAATCTAATCCTCGACAAAGTTCCTGAATTGGAAATGGAAAAAAAACTCATGAAATCTGTAATATTTGATATCAATGGAACAAAAGTTGGTGTTATAGGATATTTAACACCAGACACCCAAGTATTAGCTATCAGAAACAATGTCGAATATATTGAAGAAACAGTTTCAATCAAAGCAGAAGCAGCCGCCTTGAAAGCAATGGGAGTAAATATTTTGATAGCGCTTGGTCATTCTGGATTCACAAAAGATTTGGAAATCGCTGAAAAAGTCGACGATATTGATTTAGTTATTGGCGGACACACAAACACTTTTCTTTGGAATGGAACTAGTCCCGATTCAGAGAAACCTGAAGGACCATATCCGATGATAGTTAAGCAAACATCAGGAAGAAAAGTGCCCGCCGTGCAAGCATACGCTTACACAAAGTATCTTGGGAAATTACACCTTATTTTTAATTCAGATGGTGAACTTGTTTCCTATAATGGCAATCCTATTCTCTTAGATAATAATATTCCTCAAGATCCAGATGTTTTACAAATTGTAGACCGTTATAGTGTTGATATTTTGAAAGTTACTGGTGTAGTTATCGGGAAAATTTCAGTGGTATTGGAAGGTAATTCATGTCGTCTTAGAGAATGTAATTTAGGAAACTTAATATCGGACGCAATGGTTTTTAAATATGCATCAGAATATAATGGTCCCGGATGGACTGATGCTCCAGTATCTATTATACAAGGTGGGGGTATAAGAGCATCTATTGTTAATTCCAACTTGCCTGCTAATGTCACAAAAGGTGAACTTTTACATGTGATGCCTTTTGATGGTAATATGGTGGTTGTGTCTTTAAATGGGTCAGTTATTTGGGAAATGCTAGAACATTCTGTTGCTAAATATAATGAAAAACGTCCACCAGGACAGTTTTTACAGTTTTCTGGATTAAAAGTTGAGTATGACTTTTCAAAACCCCCTTCTAGGAGAGTAGTCAAAGTATTAATCCGTTGCGGTTTGTGCACTATACCTAAATACTACTCGCTTAACAAATTTAAGAGTTACAATATTTTAATGACATCCTTTTTATCTATGGGTGGTGATGGCTTCTCCATGTTTACAAATCACCCGACTACTCCGTTGCATTATGATGAATTAGCTTCAACTATAAAATATATTCAAACACATAGTCCTGTATATTCAGGAATTGAAAATAGAATTGAAATAAAGAATTTGGATAAACTCTCGAATTCCGTTACATCCGTGAATCAATCGATGGCTTTAACAATTTTAATAAGTGTGATCACAATATTCATGTAAATATTTATAGGTATATTCAATTACATGTAGCCGGCAAAACAGTAGAAGTGAATAATCCACTTCAAACCAGTTTTTAAAGTCTTAATTTCTAAAGCAATTTGTAGTCAATTATATTTAAGAAATTAAGTCTTTACTTTTTAGTCAAAGAACTTTGTATAACAACCAATAACGTTGAATCTCGCCCTAGCGTATCCAAGTTTGCAATATTTACTTAATATTATTCAAAGTTAAATGACTGAAATACTAATACAGTAATTATCAATTCATCTGATATAGGTTGGTTTAATTCTATAAGGACGTAGGTAATGTTGACTCAGATGCTACTGATTCGACATTACCTTAGATAAATCGATAAGCAAAAGTATCCCGTTTTATGTTTCACACAGGTAGGTACACTTAACAACGCATAGTAATGCAATTTGAACAGGTTTTCAAAATACCAATAAAAGCCTGGTAGATACTTATAATACATATAAGGAACAGGGCATTCTGTACCGTACCTGGCTTGGGCTTGTTGTCTTCATGTTTTTGAATAGTTATCATTACATATTTATTAGCATAAACGTACTTATAATTATGACTTCATAACATTTTATAGGTAAGCAATAAAAGATCACAAAGCAGAAATGTAATCTATTTGACAAACATCAAGTAGCAAATTATAATAAAATATCAAAATTTTGTATTTTTATTTAAAACACTTAACTAACTCACTATTTAGTATCATTTTCCGGCATATTCAACATGCATTATATTACATAACATTAACCTGTTTACACATTTTAAAGTACCTATTCATAAACTCTTGATTTGTAATATGTGATATTATGTGTAAGTATAACATCTCTATCAAACATCCATACGGTCTTTCGCCTTCTTAAATCTTGGAAATTTATTCGTAGCTTACAGCATACTATCTTTTAAAGAAACCATAACACAAACTACTTCACATTACCATTCGTTACATAAAAATACAAGTATTTTATTGTTACTACTTTTAAATTCGTCCTTCATTATCAATCACAAGCATATCCATATTCGGAATTATTTAATAAGTATTAAATGCTTAGTACAATAAATTATAAGACTTTTTTGTTTCAGTCTCTCGGAAATCATGAATTTGACGACAATGTCGAAGGTTTGACTCCCTTCATCGAAAATCTAACATCACCTGTGCTTGCAGCTAACCTCGTATTAAATAAAGTTCCAGACTTAAAAAAACAAACTAATATAAAAAATTCTATAATATTTAATATATCCGGTATTAAAGTAGGTGTAGTGGGTTATTTAACACCCGAAACTAAGTTCTTGGCTAAAAAGAACGATGTTGAATATATAGATGAAATAACTGCTCTTAGGTTAGAAACAGCAAAACTTCAGAAAAGTGGAGTAAAAATTATAATAGCTTTAGGTCATTCTGGTTTTTTAAGAGATTTACAAATTGCAAAAGAAGTAGAAGGTATTGACTTAGTAATAGGTGGTCACAGTAATACATTTTTATGGAATGGTAAAGCCCTAGATTCTGAAATATCACAAGGTCCATATCCAACTTACGTAAAGCAAGACTCTGGTAGGTCAGTCTTAGTAGTTCAAGCATACGCGTATACAAAATATCTTGGACGTTTACATCTCGTATTCAATAATAATGGAGAAATTTTAACTGCTAATGGAAATCCTATTCTACTAGATAAAAGTATTCCTCAAGATCCTGAAATACTTAAAATCGTTGAAAAATATCAAGAAAAACTAAAGGGTGTAACAGACGGTATTGTAGGAATTGCACCAGTCTTGTTAGATGGCTTAAATTGTCAACACAAGGAGTGTAATTTAGGGAACTTAATAACTGATGCGATGTTTTATACGTATACTGAAAATTACAAAGGGCCATTTTGGACAGATGTTAACGTTGCAATCATTCAAGGTGGTGGTATAAGAGCATCTATAGATCACATTGAAAAAACTTTATCTAAAGGCGACCTCTTAACCGTAATGCCGTTTGGAGGTACACTCGCAAAACTTAAAATTAACGGTACAACTCTATTAGAAATGCTAGAGTTTTCTGTTGCCAACTACGACCTTATAGATGCACCAGGAGAATTCCTCCATTTCTCTGGTTTGAGAGTAATATACAACTTATTGAATGATGTTGGGAAAAGAGTTGTAAAAGCTAAAGTTAGATGTGCAAAATGTAGGATTCCTGATTATTTCGATATAGAAACACAACAGGATTATGTGATTCTTGTTCCGGAGTTTCTTGCTAAGGGAGGGGATGGATATTCAATGTTTGCTAATGTCACATATGAAAAGCTAGGTTATGATGAACTTTATTGTACTGAGAATTTCATAAGCCGTCACAGTCCTGTTTTTCCAGAAGTAGATGGTAGAATTACTCTAATAACTAGTCCAACGCCTAACAAATCATCATTTTTATTGTCACCTTCATTGGTATGTTTAGTATTAATAGCGTCATTTGATATTAAATCTCTTTACTTATAAATAATATTTATTTATTTCAAACCCTAACATCAGTATTGTTAAACCAAATCAGAATATTTGGTCTCATAAAATATTTTAAGTATTTTTATTGAATGTACATTTTAGAAATACAAATAAAAAAAAAGGAAAATGTCCTGTTATTTTATTTTCTCAATACGGGTATAATCAATAGCAAGTCAGGTTATACAAATTCGTTAAATTTCTCCACTTGATTTCAACCTTTAATGGTCTACTGTCAAGTAGAGTTTAAAATCAACTGTGGAAAATTGACATATTGTGGTAACCTAACAAGCAGCCGTTAGTAGGTACTCTTTATTTACATAGTTAACTATATCTGATGAAAAATATCACATATATTTTTTATGTGTTTAGTAAATGCGATCTGATCATATTTTGAATTTTTTCATGGGACCCTTCACCGAGCGCTTCGATATGCAACTCGGATAAAGGTAGCTTAAAAAAAATCTTGAATAATACTTTTTATTTAAATGAAAGACTTAATTTTGTATCTTACTAAAAAGAAGACAGCCAAAAAAAAGAAGACAGAAGATAAACATCAGGACAAGAATTGACACGTGGAGAATATAACCACTCACGGATATCGTAAATTTTTTGCAATATCTTTACCGTAACAATTGTTCCGGGTGAAATAATCAACCGGGTTTATAAACGATGACCAATATAAGCATAACACCAAGAATGTAAGGCAATATTCATTATAATATCATAACGTTGAATCAAATTAAGTATAAGTACAGTATTCAATTGTACATAATACATCCATTTTAATATACTTTAAAAGCAGGGGATACTCTATTTGATTAAATGATTTGTGTATGAATATATAGTATGTTTTGCAATATAATTATTAATTTATTAACAGATTTTCATGAAATCCATTCGAATCCTTATGAATGTATTGTAGGTACTATTCTTTCATAAGGATTCGAACAGAGTAATTTTAAGCTTCAAAATATCACTAAAACAGAACTTAAAACAATTGAGAAATAATACTTCATAATAATTAACAAAAAATACTTTTCGAATCAGGTACTAACCGAAAATACTTATATTTTGATATAGGTATTTTCTCCTCACGCGACATCAAATGAAGTATCTTGGATTTTTATACCGACATTGTATTATTTGTAGCAATTATTTATAATATTTCCTATTTATAATTATATCTATTGTTGGTTTATGACGAGACTAAAATAGATTTTTAAACCTATGTATAGTAACCTAAGTGAAGTGTGCAGTAGTGGCTTAATTAATCCATTTATTCTTTTAGTATGAAAACCTGTAAGTTTTTAATGTTCATTTCCTTTGTAATAAATTCCAATAAATAATTTTACATTGTGCGTTTTTTTACATTTACACCGTGTAGCATATTTCAAATTATACACATTTTAAAATTAACGTGAACTTTTGTAATTACAGTCTCTTGGAAACCACGAATTTGATGAAGGCATAAAAGGAGTTTTGCCTTTTATAAGAAACCTGACAGCACCAACCTTAGCAGCAAACCTCATCTTAGACGCTGTACCAGAACTAGAAAAGGAGCAAAACCTTCACAAATCAGTCATCTTAAAAATTGATGACACTATGATCGGTATAATTGGATATTTAACTCCAGAAACTAAGTTCTTAGCACCAAAAAATAAAGTCGAATACGAAGATGAGGTTACGGCTATAAAACGTCAAGTGAAGATATTGAAAGACCAAAATGTTAACATTTTAATAGCACTTGGCCATTCTGGATTCATTACAGATTTAAAAATAGCAAAAGAAGTGGATGACATAGATGTAGTTATAGGTGGACATTCAAACACTTTTCTGTGGAACAGTAATACGACTGACGAAAAACCAGAATGTCCAGAAGGTCTGTATCCTACTGTAGTAACACAATCTTCTGGAAGAAAAGTCCTTGTCGTACAAGCTTATGCTTATACGAAGTACATGGGACAATTATATTTAAATTTCAATTCAAAAGGAGAAATCGTAAAATATGAAGGAGAACCTTTATTATTAGACCAAAGTATACCTGAAGATCTAGATATGTTAGAAAAAGTCAATAAATATAGAGAGGAAATCGATATAATCAACAATGAAGTAGTAGGACAATCATTAGTCGTTTTAAATGGTGCGTGTCGCTTACAAGAGTGTAATTTAGGTAACCTTATCACCGATTCGATTCTTGACTATACCAAACAGTATCATACCGAATACTATGATGTTAATATAGCAGTCATCCAAGGCGGTAGGATAAGAACATTCATAGATCATTCACAGAAACCTATAGAGGTATCGAGAGGAGATTTATTAGCGGTGCTACCATTTTCTGATATGTTATCAATAGTTTCCATGAACGGCACTATACTAAAACGAACTCTGGAACATTCAGTATCAACATGGCGCCTGATTGACAGCACGGGACAATTTTTACAAATGTCTGGAATGGAAGTGACGTATGACTTGGCTCAGCCACCCGGTTCTCGGATTGTTGACGTGAAAGCAGTATGTTCGAAATGCGGTGATAATAGAATGCAACGTGTAAACGACACTTATGAATATAGAATGTTTAT